CGGTCATTTTTTTGGTCTCGGCTTGAGTAAGGAAAAAAACGCATTAAAGAGGCCCATAATACTAAACGGGCCGCCACATTAGTGTTTAAGGCTAAGGACACGGAGCTACTTTAAACTTTTTGATTCCAAGATCCTTCAATTAACCAAGTCCATGTACCTAAATAGTATAGACTTTAGCCTGCAACGGGCTCGTATGTAGGTACTTTTGTAGCGTTATCGTTGAGGGGCGTGAGCTTTGGAAGCCATGCTGAGCTGCTTCCTCGGAATTTTTGACCACCAGATCTAAGTTCTTGTCCTGTTCCGCGAGGAGACTTTAGACGCCTTCTGATTCCGAGCACCAGGCCCGCTGAGATTTCTGCGTCAAGGGCTTAGGAATGACGCTTCGGAAGGGTGTCTAAAATCTATCGAGTTTCAGAGTTAGGGGCATTGGTGCTGAAAGCTAGCCAAGGGCTGCTGAGAAAATTGACTCGGGAAGTGTGGCGACCAGATCTGCTACAAGTAAGGAAGCTAAAGTTGCATGAGGACACACAGGGCGGAGGCTTCCGAACGACACGAGAAGAAGGTGCCCAGCTTTGAGGACAAGGGAAATGCCAAAGAACCGAAACTGAGGCCATGGTTCTGCTTGGGGTTCAATGTTTAGGGTTCATGGCCTCCTGGCTGAAATCAAGAAGCTTTGAGTGTGTTTCTTGGCGAGGATGCCCGATCAGGTAATGATTTAAGGTTTCGACAGCTATCTGGCTGCAAGAGTTGCTATGAGGGTATGACCATCTGCAACATCATGTTGTTGTGTACTACAACCTCCTAGAAAATGTATGCATGTATGCATGCATGTCTGTTTGTCTGTGTGTGTGTGTGCGTGTGTATGTATGTATGTATGTATGTATGTATGTATGCATGTAAGTGTACAAGTAAGTCAGTAAGTAAGTAAGCAAGTAAGTACGTAAGTAAGTCAGACAGTGAGCAAGTAAGTAAGAAAGCAAGCAAGCACGTAAGCAAGTAAGCAAGAATGTATGTATGTATGTATGTATGTATGCATGTATGCATGTATGCATGTATGCATGTAATATATGTACTTATGTATGTGTGTAAGCATGCGCACGTGTGTATGTGTATATATATATATTGACTATATCTATATATATATATCCATAGTACACACACATATATATATATATTTATATCACTGCAGTCTGACTCTTCAGAGGCATTCGCCAAAGAATTGCGGGGATGTCACGAGAACACACATATCATAGCTGAGGTGCAGGTTCGGGTTGCTTTGCATGAACGACAACACTGCGAACACACTGACAGGGATCATGCAATATGTTGAGCAGCAGCCTCCCCTGCAGGTGTTTCGGCTGCACATCCTTTGACGTGCATCCCTCAGCAGGCACGTTAGCGCATGTGTCCTGCTGTCATGTGTCCTGCACCCGGACACGTTGGCCATCGGGGAATATCAGCTCGGGCGCACAATGTGAGCAGGCGACTGCGACTGCACGGCGGCCCCTGAGCTGGCCGGACACCGCCCTCACACCCGGCTAACGGTGTGCAGGGGTCGCCCATGGTCGCCCATGAGTGCAGCGACCCCCTGTGGGTAAGGGCATGACAAGCTAGCATGAAAAACCAGACTGATTCAAGAGCACTGAAAAGATCAACCGGTCAGTCGGCCACTCCTGCAGAAAAAACGATTTGCCAACGACAGATGCTGCCGCTGCTACTGATACTACTGCTTCTGCTGCTGCTGCCACTACTACTGCTGCTGCTACTGCTACAGTAGTAGTAGTAGTAGTAGTAGTAGCAGTAGCAGTAGCAGTAGTAGTAGTAGTAGTAGTAGTAGTTGTAGTAGTAGTAGTAGTAGTAGGGTGGTAGGTAGGTAGGTGGGCAGGTAGGTAGGTAGGTAGGTAGAATCACGGCAACAGCACCCGGAGCCTGCAGCAGCAGCGTTCCGCGCTGGTCCATGCCGAACTCTTCCTCGAAACCCTGCGCTGACCACTTCGCGGAAGCTAGGAAGGTTCAGGGCAGAGGACCAAGGAATTCTGGTGCTTCGAGCATTGGAAGGGTGAGTTCGGTCACCGCTGGTGTAGAACTACAGATGCCTGAAGAACTGATTCCCGTACTACCCCCGAAATTTCCATAATGTCCTTAGACTGTGCAGCTGGAGCCTTCGACGCTGCCCTTGATGCCCCCTAAAGAAAATCTTAAAGGACACAGCCTACACTGCGCTGCTTAGCTGCCTGCCGCGAGTTGACCGCATGGATCTCGAAGGAGGGAGCGATTTCCTGAGTGTGCAGCAGTAAATTGAGGTTTCGGGTTCGGGCTTGAGCATCAGGTTAGGGTTTAGGGCTGCATTTTCGGGCATCTTTACTGGACGAGTGGAACGCAAGCTTGCTGCAATGATAAGGGTGCATGCTGCGAGCTGCTCTTGTTCTTCTACCATCGCTTCGAGACTGTAGACCTTTGAGTGACGTGGAACCACCCGAAACGAAGCAAAACCCTAGGAACGAATACCATACCCCCAAACCCAAAACCCCCAAACTCCAAAGACACCAAAACCCCGAAACCCAAACCCTCATATCCCTCCAAAAACCCAGACCCCGAATGCTGGCCCTAAACCAAAAGCTAAATCCCAAAACCCCAAAACCCCCAAACCTGTCACAGCGCTGTAAGGGTTCCACAAAGGGCTCCATGAGGGTTCTACGGGTTCTACGGGTTCTACAATCGCTCCATAACGGTTCCAGAAGGGCTCTATAGTAATAGGATCTATAGCGGCTTTTCAGGGTTCTTCCGGGTTCCATGGCTCGCCCGGGTGTAGGGTTTAGGGTTTCGGGTTTAGGGACTAAGGACTTACTCTTTTCTTTGACTCTAGGAGTTCTCGAGTGTAGGGCTTCGGGCTTTAGGGTTCAGGGTGTCGGGCTTTTTGGGTTTAGGGTTTAGGGCAGTCAATCAGCTGGCCCTCTTCTCCCTCTACGCACCCTCCAAAGCCGAAGTATGATATCACCTCCAAAGCTGGCAGATTCCACATGAAGAACAGGTATAAAGACTCTCTCGTTAAACCCCAAACCCTAACCCCTAAACCCTCAAGCCCTAAGCCCTAAGCCCTAAACCTTGAACCTTAACTCTAAACCCTAAAAGCCTCCATAAACCTTGCGAGAAGAACCCCGCATCTCTGGTGAGGTCGGAGGCAAAGGCGCCAGGTCGTAGGTTTTAGGGTTTGGCGTTTAGGCTTGTAGTGCTTGCAACATTGGGAGCTTCCAAGTTCCGAATCTATGGATTTACGGCTCGGGCATTCGGCATCAGGTTTCAGGGATCGGGTGAAGGCCTTTCGGGTGCACTTTTCTTCTCCCAGCGCCTGTTTAGCCTATGAGGGGTGGCGTATTTCTTGTTCTTCCGATGACTGAGAGTATGGGTCGGACACTCCTACATTCCCGGAGAGCAACAGCCACTCGCAGAAGATGCTTTAACCGAAAGCCAAGAAAACCTACTGCAAGAGTGCAGAGGCTGCCAAGCCTTCCTAGGACAATTATGAGACCCTTTATGTGACCCTCTAGTAGCAAGCACCATTCCAAAGGCGTCAAAAAGCCTTGCATGACATCCTCAAAGCTAGGGACTTTCTGTGATTATACCCAGGTCTGAAAGGACAGTTCTCTCCCTATGCCGGGCCCGGGGCTCTACAGCAGAAATAAGGATGGCTCCCAGATGTGAATTTTGAAGACCGGTGCTCTCCCCATGTTTGGCTCCCGGCGATGTCCACGTCGCACGCCGCGAACGTAAAATACCTGCTGTTGTGTTGCTGAGTGTGGCATCATGCAGCATTCAAACCGCTGAGCAGCAGCATGCACGATTGCACGGCGAGCCAAACACCTGTGATGAGAAACCTTCCCTGAATTTGGTACAAGTAGAGTCCGAAATGTTCGGAGGGCTGTCGTGAGGAGACACCTTGGTCACAATAGCTGGATATCAGAAAGGGATACCGAGGCAATAAAGCGAAGACTAGCGCCATCGACTCACCAGTGTCATACAAGATTGTATCGAAGTGCAGCTAAAGAGACTCGTAGCCGAGCGCCGCGATGCTAGGATACTGTTGCATTGGTTTTTTCCTACAACTACGGTTATGGGGAGTGCTCTCGACCATCACTTACTATGACCTTGTTGTCTAATTGTACGGTAACAGTCTGGCGTGGCCATGCTGTTGCACTTCCGGGGTACGTCGCAGCGCATCTGTTCCGGGGGTTCCGTGTTTCTGCTCCAAGTACAGCTTCCCCTACAGCTCCGATACAGCTCCCGTGCACAGGGCATAATGCTCATAGTAAACTCTCCCGAAATATGGTAGAGTAGGGACCACCCATGCATATTGTACAAAACACTATTCTATGCTTTAAGGCAGGCTAGCACGCCTCCTGCTGCTTAAAGCGGCGAGCGGGCGACGATGCCCTCCATGCCCAAGGGGACACGGTTCCTTTAAATGCTAAAACAAGCACCCTGGGCAAAATTGCGCCAAGTTTGCTCCTTCAGGTAAAAAGCCCGCCTGCAAGAGAGGAAGCAAAACTGACTAAACCCTGATCGACAAACCGGAGCAGGCAGCCAAACTCTCCAAATCCAAAAGAAAAGCCTGGGCCATGCAACTGGGGGTGCGACAAATGTCTGCACTAAGGCTCTTACTGGTTAGCTGATGAGAATAGCGTTGTGAATGTGGGTTTATGAGGACAGCGGCTCTGAAATCCTGAATGGCCCTGAAACCGGAAACTCTAAACCACTCATGAACCCTGAAACCTCAAAGCCAAATCCGAAAGTCCAGCTCCGAAACCGTGAAACGGACATAAGCATACAAAAATGCATCCTCGCAACCAGAAAAATAAACTGATGTTTAAGATTCCAAGATTCAAGCCCATAAAATCCGATAAAAAATATGGGGGGGGAGGGGAAACCCTCAAGCAAAACCCAATAAAACCCCCTAACGCTATCCCGGTAACCCGAGCCAGCCGCACCAAAATCGGTTTCGCACGCTTTGGTGCACTTCCACTGATCTCGGCAGCTAGGCCATCCCAGGGCAGCATACAATGTAGGGTTTGAAGTTCAGGACTCATACCCTAAACCCTAAACCCTAAACTGGGTTTACCGTGTAGGAACGTGTCGGGCCAAGGCGACAGCCCCAGAGACGAGAATGCAAGGAGCCGGCTTAGAAGCCCCATGGTTAATTGGCCCTGGTGAGAATTCAGGGCTTCAGGAAAGAAGGGCTTTGGGTTTCGGTTTTCCGGCATTCGGGGCTTAGGAAGAAGGGTTTTGGGCTTCGGTTTAAGCGGTCAGGGTTCCCTAGCTCTTGCTAGGTTTCTGCGGTATGGATTCCAACTTAGGAACCAGGTCACGCGCTTCGGCGTACGGTTTATTAGTGCTTCGCAAGCATTGGTTTAGTGCTTCGGTTCATGTTTTCCCCTCCAGGCTGTTCATGTTGCACCAGGGGGCCCAACATCTCGTGCTAAACCCCGAAACCCTTTTGGGACCTAACGAGGAATCCTACACCACAAACCCTAGAGCTTCCGGGACCCGCTTTGGAGACCTATCCTCAACAAGCTTAAACCCCTAGCCTCGAAACCGTCTCTCTTTAAACCTTGCACGGTTTGAGGGTTTAGGGGTTCAGGGTTTAGGGTTTATGGGTTTAGGGTTTCCTTAAGCCCCGTAGCCCGGGACCGTACATTCAAAAGCCTTGCAGCTGGGTATCCTAAAACCTGCCCATGGGCCCGGGGAGGGGTTCTGCCAGAGTTTTGCTGCATAAGCCCCGTATAGGGACATCTTGCACGCTAAACCTTCAAGCCATGAACTAATATCGAAACCGAACTAGTACCAAAACTGTTCCTTCGGTTCCTGCTGATAGTTCAAGCACACTGCACCCCCAAACCCCTAGTCTAATCATTACGGCCCCGATGCTGCAGGGTCGGACATAGTTGGTTCAAGTGAACCCACTCTAGCTCGAGCTCCCTAACGCTCCTAGAGTATTAAGAAGCCCCAACCTCATAGTTCAATGATTGATTTCCCGGTATCTTATACCCAAAGCCCTGTGAGCCCCTGCAAGAAGCCTGAGCTCCCAATTAAGGAACCCGGGTTCTGCGAACGGGAGCAAGCATTAAATGGGTCTCTCTCCAGATAGCACTTTCTAAATCCTAGACCCTAGATTAGATCCTGAATCTGGCACATGGCCCACATGCTTCGCTGCGTCCTACATCCCAAACCCTTAATTAAAGAGACCCGGCAACAAGCCTCAAGCTCCCCACGAATAGTAGGTTCTGTCCCTCCCATAGTCTGAGTTTATGAGCCCTGGCGGCTTGCGGTGTAGGGGTTCGGGTTTAGGGCTTAGGGTGTAGGTGTAAGCTTTAGGGCTCCCTGCTTCCAGAAGTCTTGACCACTTGAAAGGTCGATTTGGAAGGCCTTGGACGGTTTAGGGTTTAGGGTTTAGGGGTTTGTGGGTTTCGGGTAAAACCCTAAACCCTAAACCTGAACCCCAAAACCCGAAATCCTAGACCCGAAAGCCTCATCCCCCAAACGCCCAACTGGCGTGGGGTTGGGCGCTAGTGATCGGGTTGAGGAGGTCTGGAGGTTGATGTAGGCCTAGGGATGATTAAGCAACTAATCAAGTAATTCAGTGAAATACCCCTATGGTATGGTCGCTATGTAAGTATAGCAATGTATACCCTCAAACCCTGTTCTAGTTGCTTAGGCCCCTGCATCAACACTTTATTGCAGCCCCAAACCCATCATCGAACTTCTAGAGCCCTTACAGAACCCTATACCCCGAAGTAAAGGGCCCCTGTATGTGGAGGTGGGGTTTTGGTCCAGGGGTGAGGATCTGGCTTGAATAGCTACCTAGATTATTTTTTGAGGGTTCCTGATTACACGTATGCTATAATATACCCCAGAACCCTGTACGAAATACCAAAGGCTCCCTATATTACAGGGTTCAAGGCTCTAGCAACATGGGGGCTACTATAAAGGCCTCCTATAAATAAGGACTACCATAAGAGTTAGTAGCCGGCTTAGATGTTCATTTCCAGTTCCGCGAGGTGCCGGAAAATGGGGTTCAGGGCTCGGGGGTTTAGGGTTTAGGGGTTTAGGGTTTAGGGCCTCTAGAGCACAGAGTCTGGAGGTCGGTCGGGCTGCGAGATGCGCAGGACGTTGAGCTCACCGGGATACTGCATGAGGCTTAGCTCGTATGGGCAGACAGATGTCCCTTCATCGGAACTGGAGCTCTAGCACACGGACTCAGGGCTGAACACTCTACCTACTATAGGGACCTTTATAATTGGAGCATGGCTTTGGGGAAAAAAGGGCAACTATCTATAATAAGGAACCCCAAGGAAAAGTATTGGTAAATCTCTCATCAAGAAAGGCATCACGGCCCTGAGCAGGATTGAAAAACCGGCCCCAAGACTAGTCAGTACCCAACGCGGCCCTTGTTAACATCGAAAGGACAGTTGCCTATAAAAGGCCCCTTTAAGGTGTTGGGTTTCGGTTCCGGCCACCCTCGGAACCAAGTGCCACGTTGAAACCCTGCAAGCTCTCTGTCACCACGGGGGGCCGGCCGACACTATGTTCTAGGGACCCTAAGCCCGAAACCTAGCAAATCCCACATGCCCCCGAAAATGCACACGAACCTAACAGCTTCGTATTTCTCGGCAGCTGGCAAAGGACTTCCTGTGGAGCATCTCCTTGTGGCAGCAGTGGCAAAAGCAAGCTAGCATTTCTTACTGCGAAATTGAAACTACAAACGACCACAGCAGACACAACACACAGCGTCAGAAGCGCGTACGTACACTGACAACTCTGCACCCCTTAAAACCTTGAGGTCCTATACCAGTACTACAGGCAATACTGACAATGGCACTAGACCTCATCTTTCTCGCCGGGTGCGTATCGAGCACCGAAACAAACCAGCATGAACAAAGGAACAGCTGATTTGTCAAAACCTGTGCTGCTCCTCCTGCTGCTGCTGTTGCTGCTGCTGCTGCTGTTGTTGTTGTTGCTGTTGCTGCTGCTGTTGCTGCTGGAGGGGTTTAGGGTTTTGGGTCTTAGGGTTTAGGGTTGATTGGAGGTTTAGGTTTTAGGGGTCGGGGTTCCGGGGTCTGGGGCTTAGGGTTTCGTTATGGGATCGCGGACTTTGGGTTTAGGGTTATGGGCTTCGGGTTTAGAGTTTACGGTTTAGCGCGTTAGGGTTGAGGGCTAGGGTGTAGGGCTTAGGGGTTTAATTGGGGGGCTCAGGGATCAAGGGCTTAGGTTTTAGGGTGAGCATGTCACTTACACCTGACAGCTCCAAGTAAGCAATCCTGGAAGACTTTACATCCCTCAGCCCTAAGCTCTCAACCCTAGACCCTAAACCCTAAACCCTAAGAAAACATTTGGTCTGGACTAGGCTCCATGGAGGGTCTAAGCCTAAGCAGTTCAGTGGCTCTTCTTTTAGGGCCTATAAAGAAAGCCGTTTTAATGTCTATGCTGGGGAAACTTTGAGGATTTGGGGTTTAGGAGTTTAGGGTTTAAGGTTTGAGGGTTAGGGTCTAGGGTTGACGGTTTTACCTAATCTAGTAGAACGGCATCATAAGTATACACTACAGTAGTGGAAAGGTTATGAGCCATCCATTGCCTCGTTTGCCCATACAATGCTATTTTCGCTCTCCTAGACCATCATCCCTCCAGAAACTCCTCACGCAAGATCTATGAATATAAAGCCTACATGACTCTTTTAATATATATCTTTCAAGAGAAACCCCAACACCCAACAGGAGCTTACAGCCGAGTCTAGCTCATTAGTGTTTGGGATCTCATGAGGATTTTGGTTTCACGACTTATTTAGCAGTTGGCCACTAACCCTATCGCACGCATGCACGCATGCACGCATTCACGCAAGCACGCATGCGCAAACACATGCACGCCGCGTAAAAGCAAAAGCATAAAAAAAAAAAAAGAAACAGGAACGAGAACAGGAACATGCACACGCACATTCACATGCACGCACACACGCACACCACAAACATCCACACACACACACACATACATATATATATATATACACTTGCACGCACGCACACACACACACACACACCCACCCACCCACCGTCTCCACGGTACGCTTGTTTTCGCAGAAGCGGGGAAATGGCAGCCAACGATCAGAGCATGAGCCCTTAAATTGCAATACAATGAGCCCTTTCGAACAGCCACGCAAACAACACAGCGCGCTCAATCTCCAAGTTGGACTGCAGCATTGTCCACTCGCTCCCCTGTGACAAACTCTAGTTTTCGGAGGTGCACCTTGGCGTTCTCACTAGCCAAGTCGATCCACTCGACATCTTCGAAGTCGGTAAAGATCAGCTTGCCGTCCATCCGAGGCTGGAAGTGATTCAGGGGTTCTTCCTCCACGTCTATGCCTTCCTCCATGAGTCGTCTCTTCCGACTCGCGGAGCGCTCTTCGTACCTCTTCTTTTCCATGTTGCTTCCACTCACCTCAAGACATTTGATCGTCCGGCTTAGCTGCTGTTCGGAAACAACGAGACTATCAAAGCGTGAGATGTCGCTCACATCCTGTATCTCCTCGGACCCACAGAAGAACCTTACGGAAACAAGTCCAATTTCATCGCGAATGTAAGCGCGAAGCGTCTCGACCTTGTCGTCGATGTGGAAATGATGTGGTTGGGCAACCGGCTCGCCGCCCAAACTGAGACAAGACACCTCTAATGAATCGCCCTCGCGCCTTATGTTGACAGAAAACGCCTTTGTTGAATTCTGAGCAGAATCAAGTTGATGAGAGAATTGATCTTCCAATCGTGCTTCGAGACTCATAAGGGTAAATTTGCGCCCATCCTTCATTCGCAATCGCACAACGGCGCCAGTCCAAATTTCCATGTCGCCATAAAACAGCATGTATGGATCGTTCGAGCCATCTCCTCTCTTCCAAGGCGGAATACTCCAGCTTTGCCTCGTGCCCTCAAACACCGCCATCCCTTCTTCATACAACTTGTAGCCTCGCAACTTATCCAGACCTGATCCTCGAGGAACACCATCCTCGAAATCGCTGAGCACTGTGTGTCTAGTGGCCATAGCACTCATATTGCCTCGGCTACAGTAGAGTATGAGTCAACAATTAGTAGAGAAAATAGGGCGGTTTTGGGCGCAGGGCCGTCATACTTGTGCGGGTTTGGAGGGTTTGGGGTCTAGGGCCTCGGGATCAGGTGGTTCAGGGTTTCGGGTCAACGAACGTTCGCGTGTTCTCCCATGCATGTGGTTTTGCTGCAAGCCACAGCTGCAGCATAGTTTCACAACAAAGCATTCGTTTAGTGCAAGATGTTGCGTCCTTTTAAACTGGGGAAGTCGGAGGTACTTTCATTATTTGTGAGCGCAGGAGTGGCCCCGTGTAGGGCCCGAAGGCCACCCTCAAACGTTGAACCTTCACCCCAAAAATCAAATCTCAAGCCCCTAAGAGCCTGAAACCCTAAACCCTAAACGCCAGTCCAGCAGCCTCTCAAGAAGTCAAGCAAAGCCTGAACCCTGACTTCGGTTTGTGTTGGGGGCTTCGCGGCGTCCGAGGGTTTGGGGCTTTGGGTTTTAGGGTTAAGGGTTCAAGGGGCGAGGACTCAGGCTTTGGGTTTAAGAGCTTGGAGGCCTTGGGATTAAGTTCTACTCTATTTCATGATTAGCAACTGGAGCATACGCATGTCCGTCTAACAACCTTCCACAGCTGAGTAGCAGACTGTAGCATGATTCTTGGCCCCAACAACCTAACACAACACATGAAGCTTTCAGTGGCTTACCAATGTCAACAAACTCTGAACGACGCTGGAAGCGACGATCGCAAAAGCGCTACTTTACCTTCACAACATGCTGCAACCAGCATGGACTCGGAATAGCACATGTTCGGAAGCATAATATACGGGCCTTAAAATGACAATTTGAATAGTTTTTTCTTTTTTTTGGGGGGGGGGAGATTTTATGCTATAACGCTAAACGACGAACCCCAAGGAATACTATCGGTTGTTATTCCGACACCTGTATTATCCGAACTTGGGTGGACAGTTTCCCACTCACGGGGGGCCTGGAAGGACCCTGCAAGTTGACATGCCATTTTGAAACCCAAGCCGAAACATAAACCTTAAACCCATACAAACCCTAAATCCTAAGCTCTCCACCCTAAATGCTAAATCCCTACCTAACCCAAAAAGACATACATCCTCGGCCCTAAAAGCCCCAGCTCCCTCCAGGGGCACCTCGCAACTGAGCTTACCCCAGTGGCGTTTGACGATCTGCCCGTGGGCCTCGCGCATGATAGTGTATAAGGTTAAATTAATCGTTTAGGATTCAGGGATTGAGGTTCAGGGTTTAAGGCTTTTGGCAATATCCCTCAACTGAGGTGAATATATTCCTTAGACTACAGATCGATCTTTGATAAGGGACACTCGGATGAAGGGTTTTGGTGGCAGGACATGAGGAAGTGAGAGCTTGGAGGCTGATGCGGCTTGCCTCAGGGTCAGCACTCTGCGTTCCAGCCCTCCGACCTTAAGAAACGTGGAACGCTCCCACCTCCTCGTCGTCAAAGACGATAAGGTAGAAATGACCGGGAGACTCGCATGGACTGGGCGTTGCTCGCGTGGGGTTGCTCCGCTGGCGCCGTCGTCGTTTTAAACACCACGAGCACGACTGCCAACACCAACACCACTGCCACCGCGGCCACCACCACTCCACCACCGCCACCACCGCACCACCGCCACCCGCCGCCGCCCGCCGCCGCCACCACCACCACCACCACCACCACCACCACGGCCACCACCACCGCCACCACCACCACCACCACCACCACCCCACCACCACCACCACCCCCACCACCACCACCGCTAGCAGAAGCAAGTAGCAAGAACATCGCCTCATCACCAGCCTGAGCATCACCATCACGCGCACCATCAGAACCATCATCATCATCAGCAGCAGCATCGTCATTATCAACATCATCATCATCATCATCGTCATCATCATCATCAGCCGCAGCAGCAGCAGCCGCAGCGGCATCATCAACAACGACATCAGCATCTGTGTCAGCATCATCGCCTGTCTGTGTTAACTTTTATTACTATCGCTCCCATAAATAATTGTCACGACTATTACTTCTGTTGGTACCATTACTATTCTTGCTACAATAACTAATATATTGCTACGATTACTACTGTTACTACTAAAACTATTGTTAAGTTTACCATGCATACACTTCAGCCACACTTCAACAGCATTCTGTTCCTTTCGAATCTCCATTTGGCATCGCATGCAAGCCTTAGGCCGTGGAACTACGCGAGCCAGGGAGCTTCTTGTAGAGGGCTTTTAGGGCCTTTAGGGCTTTAGGGGTTGGGGTCTCGGGGCCTGGGCCTTTGAGGTTGAGGCTTTTAGCTTTTCTTCGGCTTCGGGAGTTCTGAGTTCCCACGCGTAGAATCGGTGAACGAACCAGAGGGGCAGCTTTCAAAACACTTCATCAAAAGCCCCAAAAAAAAAGCCCAAACCGAAGCGATGGATTGGGTCGCTCTGGGCCCCAGGCCCCCAGCACGGAGGGCCCTGACAGGCGGACGGCTGTGCTAAAGTAGGATGCGGCCTTCATAACTAGAATAGAGACAGAGAGACAGAGAGAGAGAGAGAGGGGACCATCATACTATACTTATGGTAGGGAAGCCCCAAAAAAATATTGGTAATTATTTAGGCCCCTATATTATCCAAAGCCTAGACTGCAAAAGAGGGCTCAAGGGAGGCGGGAGCTGTTTCTCTCGGACTGACAGAGGAGCCAACTCCAATGTAGCCGTGTAAAGTGCGAATAGGGCAGCATACCATTTCAACCGAAAGCTTTCAGCTTACACCCTGACCTCCAAACTATAGGATCCCTTCCGCCCAAAAAACAAACAACATCTTTGTTGGGTCTTTAGACTTTAACTACGATACACGTGAACACCGATCCCTCCTAAAATGGCAAACCCCAAACCCCCAAACCAAAAACACTCTAAACCCTAAACCTGAGACCCCAAAACCCCCAAGCCCCAAAACCCCAAAAACCTAAAGGCCCCTTTATGGTAAACCCCTGTAGCAGCCCCTATGGCAACCCTTGTAGTAATCCTTACATAGTACTCCCCTTTGAATGGCCCTCAAAACCAGCCTCGGTCGAGGCCGGAGCCATGTCCGACACACTGGGGAGCATCTTCCCTCGAACGAAGACCTGCAGAGAGGCTCAGGGGCTGTTTAGGGCTTAGGGCCCTTGGGCCTGGAAGGTGCAGGATCTAGGGAGTTTAGGGTGTAGAGGGTTGAGGGTCTGGACCGAGGGGTTTTGGAGTCTAGTGGATTTAGGGGTTTAGGGGTTTGACAAGGGGTTTAGGGTTCAGGGTACGCGGTGCAGGCGAGAGTTGGGGGCTTCGGCTGGTGCTGCCAAACTGAAACCCCACCAAACAGCTCTGCCCTGCTTACCTCGTTCAGGGAACCGAAACTTAGAAGGAAAAAAACGCACGACGCCCGAAGTCACATCAACGATTTCCTCGAGACAACTGCCCATATTCCCAAGTTCTTCCAACCGGACCCCGGGTCTGAGAACCACTCGAAACCTTCGTGAGGCCGATGTTCTGCAATTCCGGGCCCTAAGCTAAGGGGAGCCGGACGAAGCTCGCTGAAGAAACAAACCCTAAACCCTAAACCCTCAAGGCAAACCCTAAATCCTCAACTCTCACCTTAACTCTCAAACCAAAGGAAGCAAAAGGTGAGCCTCGATCCTGCCAATGGCCGGCTTCGGCTGGCGTGGACGAATGCTTGACTTACTGTATGGTCCAAATAATTACCAATACTATTTTGCAGGGCTCGAATGGCCTAACAGCTGGCTTTTTTGTTAGCTATAGGAAGATCGCACGCGCTTGACAAAGGCCTCCCTGCCACTTCGCAACAACGACTGCTGCTCATACGGCATCACGCTACAGATCCGCAGCTACGCGACAGGCTTATGGGCCGTGGCGGCAAACACCACGGAGCTCAGGGATGGCGCCCAGACGATACGCAGTCATGGCAGCTTTGGCAAGGTGCGCGTTCGCCTTCTTTGCGCAAAGGAGCTGCCTATCCCCCGTGGAGGGAGTATCCACACAAGCCGGCAGATGCGAGGCCGATCTTTCCTTCGTATACTGCTATGCAGCCACCGGTGCGGGAGAACCGTCAGACTACTGCCCTCAGCAGTTCGAAGCCTGCAAGTGGCGGAATGGTACATGGACTACAGGAGCTGCTGAACGCAGCCCGCAAGACGGAAGGGAAAGTCCACAAGCTACACCACTTCAAGGAGAAGAGGGCAGAACAGTGGCAACTTTACCAGCAATCCATGAAGGACTCTTGGATGAAAGAACATACCAAATTCAACAAAGACATGGAGAAGATCGACAAAGACCTTCAGGATGCCATGGTAGAGCAAGGCCAAGCTTTCCAAGCGGTGCGCCAAGCATGGATGCAAGCAGAGACCAGTCAGCCAGACGAGTCTATGGGTGCCAATATGGACACTGCCTGGGAACAGCTCCGGTCGGGCTGGGAACGCGAGGACGAGGCAATGTTGCAATCAGTGCTTCAGCGTGCCGCGGCGCTGCCACCGGATCAAATCCTAGCAGGTCAGAGTCGGCAACTAAGGCCGGAGATACAGCAACTGCTTCGGCACTTAGGTGCTCACTTGCCCTGCGAACATCCACAGGGCACGGGGTTGGTGCCCCCACAGGGGACTCAGACTACAATGCCTCCAGCCTCGGCTCCTATGACGGCATTGAACACTACGCCATTTGGTCCTCCAGTTCAGCTACATGCCCCACCAGCTATCGGGCCGGGAGACTCCGGCAAAGCAGGAGACGTTCCTACAATGCAGGCTTCGCCACACACTGGACAGAGAGACCCCGCGGCAACGAGGGTCCCCACCAGCGAAGGCCCACCAAGACCCGACATCAAGTCGGCCTCCAAGCTCTCGCCGCCGCCAGATCGTGTTCAAGGCCCAGGACTTGCTGCAAAGTTAGAAAGGAAGCGCGAGGACGCACTAGCCGGCCAAGCTTTGAACCTTTCGGCAAGCCGGCTATACAAGCAGAGGTTGCTCCAGAGCCAGCCAACCTTTCGATAGGAGATTCGGACGAAGATATGACGGATCGCAAAGACGGGGCCCCGTCGCCACATCTTCACAAGATGGGTTAACAGTATGCTCTGATAACAGCCCGACTGCCTCGCCTACTGAGACACTTGGCGGTAGGCAAAAGTCTCTTACGCAAGAGTCTCAATGCAGTTTGTCTGACCGGCTGGCGGGTCCGTTGAGCTGGATGTCCATGGTTGGGACATCTTTCTCACAGTCACCCATCGGCGGATGTCTCATTAACTGCGTCGAGGTTCGTGCTGAGAGAGGACTCTTGCAATCCTTAGTGACCTGTACAGTGGCCTGTACAGTCCATTTCTTTGTTTTTCAGGCTGATAGTGGACTTGCTCCACCACCCGATCTGCCTTGTAAGCTACCCTGCTTCCACAGTGCTTGGGTTTATGCACTAGTGGCAACAGGAGGTAGCTGGTCTTCCTCGCGAACGGGGGCAGGACACTGGTCTCGTGCCTCTACTCCCGTTCCACAGTCGTTTCTGGACTTCTGCCTTCAAGAGTCTCCCAGACCATTTCGCGTGCTTCACTGTTTGTCCTCTTGGACTACAGGTTTTCCAGTTCTCGTACCTGGCCACGACTGTCAATGTCTTTGCGCGCTTAAGAGTCGGATCGGTAGCTCTGGGCCGACCGCCAAAGTTCAGACATGTCGTGGCTATTCCCAAAATTTTTGGGCACCATTTGTCAGAGAAGGTTGTTTTTCCATTGGCATTCACCTGCCAGGTCATCATCACCGATTTCCTACGCGATCGGATAACAAATCTGATTGTCAACACACTATAGTTGTTGAAGGAGCTTTTTCTTCTCCTCCTTCAGGCAGAGCGCTAAATACCCGCATCGGTAGCTCAGGGGCGGGAGCCTGCCATCAAGACGTTGCCGTTCGAGCCCCCACATCTTCGGGTTGGGACCTTAGTTTACTTTTGATTGCCGGAGAACTCATTCTGCCATTCATGCGCAGTTTCCTGCTTTTGGTAGTATTGTCTCTGGTGAAGCTTATCGTCGACTGCACCCCTGGCGGTTGGACGCCCCTAGGGAAGGCCTTAAGAGCACCAACTTCGTGGGTAAGCTGGACCTGTGTGCTGTCCCTGCGTGTTGCAAGTGCCCAACGACCAGTGTTGGATTGGTCGCCAGCACGGCCGCGAAGGTTACCTAAAGGCACGCTGAGGTCTCTTCCGTCCTCTCCGTACAGGAGCTTCCACAAGCTGGGTTTGCTTTTGTTCGGGTTCTTGCACCTACCCGTTTGTGTGTGGTCTATGCCCGCCAGCTGCACGCCGGAGACTAAAAGCTTGCTCACCTCAGAATACGCAGCCATGACCACAGACCCTCTCACACAAAGGTCTTCTTCTTCTGCTTCAGCTGCTCTTTCTTCTTGTCAGCCTGAGAGTCTGCCAGGACAGTGCATCGATTTGCCGGAGCATGTGCATGGCCCGGCACCCTACTCCCAGGACAGCTGGCTAG